TGGGAACTGTACACAGGAACAAATCAGAAATTCAAAATGAAATGCTGCAATTTCAAAACAGAGAATTGTATAGTACAATCTTTGGATTTCAGAAAGATATAATATTGGCCTCGTATATGGCAAAGAAAAACAAACTGGTACTGTTGATGTCAACATTTCAGCATGATGGAAATAGACAGGGAAACCTCTGCAAAACGGAAGCTTGAGATAGAGAACTTTTAACAAAAGTGAAGGCAGAGTAGATGTTTTTGATGAGTTATGAAGGAACTATGATGTCACTTGAAACACAAAGCATTGGCCAGTGGTTGTGTTTTACTCGATCCTAAATATGTATGGCACAAATAATTTGATAGTTTACAAAAAAATAACAAGTGCAAAATATAATGGAGAAATTTTCATAAGAGGATTGGGATTGGGACTGGACCTCCTAAGAGGTCCAATAGCAGAGGAAAAACAAAATGTTTCTGCCCAGGGAACTAGGCAAAAAAATTGTGGAGCACACTGATGAGCTGACAGGTGAACAGGAAGGTGCAACATCACAAAGACCTACTACAACAGCAGGAAAACAAAACAAGGTCATCTGTGCCCTACAAGAAAGTACAGGAAAACAAACCATACGTGCTTTCCATGTAAACAGCACTTATGTATGCAACATGCAGTTGCCATGTGTGAAGACTGCTTAGGTGTGACAGTTGAGGTAAAACTTATTTCTGTGGTAGGCTGTGTTCACACTGTAGTTCACACAGCTTTTTATTTTTGATGTTATCTTTTAGGTTTTGTAAGCAAGTAATCAGCTGATGTAAAAATCCTGATGTCTATTCTAAGCACATATTTGATACTTTATTGACTTATTTCCCTACTAAGTACAACATGCAGTACAATATACTAGGCAGTTCCTGAGAAAACAGAAAGAGAGGTGACAAGATTGCCACATAGGAAAAGAAGGCGAAGCACACATGCTGTCAGTGTGAGACGTGCACATGAAACATACAGTTATCATGTGTGGAAACTGCTTGGGTGTGACAGTTGAAGCAAAGCTTACTTTTATGTTAGAGCTCTATTGGTATTTTCATACAGAAATTTGTATCAGATGTTCTTTTAGGTTTTGTAAGCAAGTACACAGCTGATGTGAAAATGTTGATGTTTAGTCTAAATACACAAAACGTATTAAAAATTTAATAATTTACTTTATTGATATTTTATTACTGCTAACTACCCACTATATGATATAATATGAACTTCTTGACAAAACAGAAAGACCACTGAAATGTCAAATATATCCTACAAAAAGGCCAGGAACCTTTCCACATGCTGAAGAGTAAAACTAGACCCAAGTCTATCACCATGCACTAAATTAAAATCAAAATGAATCAAGGATCTAAATATTAAAACAGAAACACTAAATCTACTGGAAGAGAAATTAGGTAGAAATCTTGAAGATATAGGGGTAGGCAGAGAGTTCATGAACAAAAACCAAACTGCACTGGAAATACTTCAAAGAATCAAAAAGTGAGATCTGTCTCATCTTTCTGAAAAATTTTTGCACATCAAAAGAAATCACCCACAAAGTAAAAAAACCCAAGAATTGGGAAAAAATTTAGCCAACTGTTCCTCAGACAAAGGACTTCTATCTAGAACATATAAAGAATTTTAAAAATTCAGGCCCCCAAAATTCAAAGACCCAATCCAAAAATGGGCATCTGAGATGAATACACATGTCTCACATGAAGAAATACAAATGGCAAATAAATATAAGGAAAATGTTCAACATCACTGGTCTTTCAAGAAATGCAAATTAAAACAACACTGAGATTCTATCTCACTCCAGAAAGAATGGCTATCATTGAGAAATTAACCAGTAACAAATGCTGGTGAGGCTGTAGGGAGAAAGGAATCTATCTCTACTGTTGATGGGAGTGTAGACTTTTGACTGCTACAACCACTGTGGAAACCAGTGTGGAGATTCCTCAGTAAACTGGCATTGGAGGTCCCATTTGATCCAGCTAGTCCCCTTCTGGGTATTTTTCCAGAATTGAAAACATCATATCACAGCAATATATGTGCACCCACGTTTATAGCAGTGCAATTTGTAACTGCTAAATCTTAGAAACAACCCAAATACCCATCCACTGAGGAATAGATAAAAAAGATGTGGTATTTTTATACAATGGAGTACTACTCAGCTATAAAGAAAGATAAACTCAAGGCTTTTATAGGCAAATGGATGCAACTAGAGACCATACTCCTAAGTGAAATAAATCAGACTCACATGTGAAAACATCATATTGTCTCCCTAGTGTAAGAAACTGAAAGAGTAACTAAGGTCCAAAAGGTGCAATAGATATTGTGAAAGGGAAAGAAAATGCTCAAAAGGCAAGAACAACCAGGATGGGGGAAAGGAGAGAAGGAAGGGGAAAAAAAAAAACTATATAGATACACACACACACAGAGATCACTAGGATAACTGTACTACTGATTTCTATTAGTTCACTGAAAGGACCAGTTAGTGCTTATACTGTTTGATCAATTTTGCATGTCTATATCTTATGATCTGAGCAACTACGTTGAAGACAACAATATGCAATATAATAACCACTGTTAATTTTCTGTCATCTTGATTTGAAATTCTGTATTGCTTTTATTGTTTTTTTTCTCTCTCTAAAATTTAAAAAAAAAAAGGCCAGGAAAGCAAAAGACATGTGCTCTCAGTGTGAGTGATATGTGTGTTTGGGACATACTACTGTCACGTGTGCAGGCTGCCTTAGGTGTGGTAACTGAAGTAAAGATTTTTTTTTGTAGAGTGCTACAGGTATTTTCATTGTAGTTCATGTAGGAATTTATTTCTGATGTTCCCTTTTAGAGTTTGTTCACCAAAAACCAGTCAATGTTGAAAATTTTTGTTTTTTTAAACAGTAAGAATTAAAAACTCAATACTTTATTTCTGTGATATTTTTCATGTTAAGTATTCATTGTTTAATATAATAAAACTTATAAAATTAAAATTCACCAATAGAAATATTCTAAAGAATAACTGTGGGCTTGATGATAGTCCCATGTTTCTTCATCTTGATAACAAAGTTCATCTTATGCCCCGGAAGCTACTCCTGGTGCCTTTGACCAGAGCATTGCACCATGAATCAATTCCAGTGTCACACAGTCTAGATCCAGTCACTTCTGCAAAAACTCCAACTATACCCCCATGAGGCTGTTGGGGAAACATCTAAACACAAGCCTTAACAGTTGGTTTTCCATGATTTCTTTCATTTTAAGTTTTAAGCATGCTCACAGGGTTGGAAATCTATATACATAGATATAGAGATCTATATAGATTTGGAATCTAGCTTCCAAATAAAACATGTTAAAGGTGATACATGAAAGGGAATTTTATCAAGTACACTGAATATCAGGAGTATTTTTTGCAATTTGAATTTTTTTTTCTTTTTCAGACAGGTTTTGCTATGGAGTTCAGGCTGGTCTTAAACTAACATTTTAGTTGAGGCTGGCCTTGAACTCACAGCAATCCTCCGGCCTCATCCTCCAGAGTGCTGGGATTACAGGCATGTGCCACCATACCTATCGAGATTGTTAATTAATTTTACTTACATCTATTATTTCTTATCAGCTATTCACACAGGCTCTTCTAAACTTTCTATGGTGCAAGGTATTTTATTTTTTTTATCCAGCGAAGAAGCTGCACAATTTTAATAGATGCTTTAATTTATAGAATTTGAAAATTATAATCTCTGTTGTTGATAACAGAAATTCTCATGTTTCTCCAGCCCACACAGGAAATATGAGATTTATGAAAGTTCACTTTACAAAGTAGATAGAATAATAAATTGCATGATTATTTTTCTAAGCAACAAGTAATTCTTCAATTCAACACTTTAATTCAGTTTTGACACTACCTAGAGTTAGTACAGGTCAAGGCCTCAGTTGCTTAAGACTGGTGTAACATATTATATACAGATGAGTTGTTTTCATTGCAAATGAGGAAAAAGAGGATTATAGAGATTAAATATTTTGCTCAAGACATTTTTGTAAGGAGAAAGCTATTAGAATTTTTCATGTATGACTTATGCAGAAAAAGTTATAGAAAGAACGTGATGGGCAAAAACTAGCCCAAATACAGAGGAATATTTTGGTACAAGGCTACATAACAACAAATTAATAACATTACCTTTAAGGAGAGGGTAACTTTTTCCTTTTACTTTCTGAACTACTGAAAATTTTCCAACACTGATATCTGTTAAAAATTAGACTGGAATCATGGATTGTGTTCCCCTTTTATTTTCTATACTTGCAGAACAAAAGTTTTATTTTCAATTTTTTCTTTATATTAAATAATTTTTAATTTCAAATTTTCAATTTTTCTTCTTATTAAAAAGTATGTCTAGGGCCAGGCGTGACGGTGCATGCCTGTAATACCAGCACTTGAGAGGCTGAGGCAAGAGGATTGCTGCAAGTTAGAGACTAGCCTGGGCTACGAAATGAGCTCAAGGCCAGCCTGAACTACAGAGTGAGACCCTGTCTCAAAAAGACAAAAAAAAACCAAAACCAGAATGTCTAATAGGTGAGTGGTTAATTCAGTTGCTTGGCACACAATAACAAAGGATATAGGTTGGATTAATTACATCTGCAAAGAACAGAAATATCCCTTGTTGAAGAATGCATTTTTGACTTTAAAGTCATCTGGAAAGCTTGTGCTGCTAATTGTAACAATTAATCAGGTAAAAGCATGTAGCTAACTCAATACAAAACATTAATACTGGAAAATAACTCTAATATCCTACTGACGGAGGATAAATGTATATATGTCATTACTTATTTCCAAGTAAATGGTTTTTCACAGCCATCAACTCATTCCCCTTGTAAATAAAATATAATTAAGATCTTAAACAAAAGAGTAGTTTCTATACTTTCAGAAAAGCTAAAAATTTATAGTTTTCTAAAATAATATACTTGTTTTAGTATACTATATAAACATTAAAATACTATACCTGTAACATCTTCTGGATCTGATACAACAATATGTGCATTTAATTCCTGTAGCTTGTGATGTAGTTCTTCTAACTTCTTATTTGATTTTTTCAAAATGTTGTCTACGTAAGCCAAACTTTTTTTATCTGTTGTAACTTTCCTTAGATTTTCAGCTCCTTCTTTGATTTTCAGTTCTTTCCTTATTTCTCTCTTGATTCGATCCTTGATATCATCCAATTTCTGTTGCACCATTGTATCTGAAAAGTCTAATTTCTGAACAGCACTCACATTCTCAGAAAGCGGAAGAGTTCGGGAATCCCCCTATGAAAACAAAACAAAAAATAAATAGGAGTTTAGGAAAGTTGGCGGCTTAAAATATACAGCATTAAGGTTAATAGCGTTTTGCTGGGGATATAGTTCAATGGCACAGAGCCTGCCCGGCGAGCACAAAGTCCTGAGTTCTATTCCCAGTGCCGAAAATAAAAACAACCAAAAAAGAAAAAAGATAATAGCATTTTTAGCATAAAGAGAATCTTTATTAATTATATTAACTTCCTTAATAGGCAATGGTTTACTAATTTACCTTTGTTATAACCACATAAAACTGTAAACTCAAAAACTGCCCATTGGGTCAGGGGTATAGCTCAGAGGCATAGCACCTGTCTGCAAGCACAAGGTCCTGAGTTTGATTCCAGGTACAACAACAATAACAACAAAACAACCTGCCCACCCACTAAGTAGCATTCCTTGACAAATATATTAAGATAAAGTAAATACAACATATTTACATAGAACAGCATCTCAGGGTTGGATCATGACAATGGATTGGATAATCTATAAACCCAAGTTAGATCCCCACTATGAACCTTGATAAAGTCACTTAACCTTTAAAATACCCAGTTTAACTATAAAGTTTAAATAATATTAGCTACCTTTCAGAAATAGAGATAATTTAAAATTTAAAAAGAGAAATTACAAATATAATTCTTGGCCCACTGTAAAGTAGGTGAGCCATTTTATTTTCTACAAAAAAAACTCTTAAAAACAAACTACACTGGTGTAGTGCATGTGCCTACAATGCCCACTCCTGGAAGGCTGAGAGTGGAGGGCCACTTCAGCTTAAGAGCTGAACCAACCCTACACAAAGTAACAAACTTGTGCCTTAATTCTATGTAGTAAGCTCAGATTTCCCAAATGTCTTGACTTATGGTATCCTCAGTATCTCAGTAAATTTTTCCCTTATTCCCCTACAGGCTAAAAGAAGTATCTAACAGTTTACTGAGTAGTAGGGGACAAATAATAAATACTTGTGTTTTAATAACTTAGTCACTAGCTGAAATAATAATAGACATAAACTGAGAAATATTTTTATTTCCTTCTTAATAACCTTTGCCTACTTCTTTTTTTATTTTATTTTTTTGGGGGTTTTTCTCCGGTACCGGGAACCGAACTCACGACCTTACGCTTGCCAGGCAGGCGCTTTTGCCGCTGAGCTAAATCCCCAGCCCCACCTTTGCCTACTTCAACTCTTGCTTCTTTCCATTTGCTTCCTAAATTTCAATCTTTTGACCTTTTACTGAAAGGTCAAAAGAAATTATGACCTTTTACTGAAAGAGACTGTTCTCTGGCTCATTTATGACGCATGCTGTATCTTTGAGATGTACTGCTTCTCTTTCTGTCTTCAACTATCTCTTCCAAGTTCCTCTGTGGTCTAGTTATTTTTTATTATGTTTCAAAGTTCACCACAAGTCTTTCTGGGAAAGATTTCCTGCTCAGTGACCACCCGTAGGATTCAGCTAAATGATTATCCTCTGTGATCTGATTCTACCGATCTTATTGAAATAACTATCTCTTCTATTATCTAACCATTCCAAGTCTTTCTGGGAAAGATTTCCTGCTCAGTGACCACCCGTAGGATTCAGCTAAATGATTATCCTCTGTGATCTGATTCTACCGATCTTATTGAAATAACTATCTCTTCTATTATCTAACCATTCCACAGACTAGACTATGAACAACTGAGAATAGGATTTGTTTGGCAGATTAATATATTTTTAAAAAGTGATTTGTTTGTTTGTTTGTTTATTTATTTGAGACAGTCTTGCTATGTAGGTCAGAGTGGCCTCAAACTCATGGTGAGTCTCCTGCCTCAGCCTCCTGGGTGGTGGGATTATAGGTGTGTGCCACTATACCTGGCAATTTGTCTATTTTCAAAATGATTTGTTATTTTTCTTTTAGAATTCAGGAAAACCTGACACTGCTGAAGAACTCATACTTCCTTTCTCTGATAAATAGAATTTGTACTCCAGGAAGCTCGAAGGGAAAGTTGACAATCATAGCAACAGTTAGGTATAAACTAAATATGGTTAACATGTTTGCTCCATCTTTTTTTTCACAGATCTAATTTTTTAGTAACCATATTTTTTGCTGTGACATAGCTCAAATGCCTTTTGGAATGAGCAAGGGATACACACAACATAATTATTTAAAACAAACAAATGTCCCTTGACAGCTGATAAGAAAGGTTCTAATACTTCCTATTACTCTCTCCTTTTCTAAAAATTTTAGTTGCAATAAACATTAAAATATTGGATTGTATACTTTTCTTACATTTGAAACAATTGAAATAAGATATCTGATCTACTAAATTGTGCTTCTACACTTAAAAGAACAATTACTATAGTTCATACTGTCAGGAGTCATTACTTCACAATGAAAAAAATAGTCTCAACCTGGGTAAATTAAATTAGTTGACATCAAGAAAATAAATACCTACATAATCAATGACAATCTTTACTGATAATCTTTTTAGTAGATTCTGTTACAGGCAGAAGTAATTGTCTGAACTATAGGTATTCAATAGTTTAGCTCACATGAGCTGCACTAAGAGGAACTGTCTTTGGCTACCGATAAAATATATGCTATAATTCATGTATATAATATGTTTATTTTTAATATTTTTACTATAACTGTAAAAGAGGGTACCATAACCCCAGAGAAAAATTTGAAATTGTTTTTATGACTCTAATGTATCAATGTCTGGTTCGATGGAAGTGGTTGTAATTCTTAGTGAGCTCCCAAGGGGATTGTCAGAAATTTTTTATCTAATTTCACTCTGTGTGCTTCATCCTTGAAAATAGCCCTTCACAAGTGTACATACTGTAAAATGTGATGACATGAATAAGGTGTAACTGTCAAGTGAGGGATATTTTTCTCTGGGACGATAGGTCTTTAAATTTCTCTTTGAATTCAGTGAGAAATTATATATATATTTCTAAACTTAATAAGCAACCTTTTTTTAGTATTAGTGTGTATGTAACTATAGCAATATCATGAGTGAAAACTATTTGATATGCTGCTAAAAACCTCTTTCAATTCATTAAATTATTTTCTAAAACAACACAATATGCCCTAGTTAATAATTAAAGAAGAAAATTTGGATGTTTGGTTAGTAACAGTAAACTTGTACGTTGAAATACTGTTTTTTTTTTTTTTTTTTTTTGGTTTTTCTCCGGTACCGGGAACTGAACTCACGACCTTGCGCTTGCCAGGCAGGCGCTTTTGCCACTGAGCTAAATCCCCAGCCCTGTACGTTGAAATACTATTAACCAGGGCCTGGGGATTTAGCTCAGCGGCACAGCACCTGCCTGGCAAGCGCAAGGTCGTGAGCTCCATTCCTGGTACCGGAAAAAAAATCCCCCCGCAAAAGAAATACTATTAACCTTTCACTATTACTAAATACTACCATGATTTACTTGTCAAATTGAACCAGCATACGTATACTTTCACCCACCATTTCACAACTCTATTTGGGCCCAGGCTGGACAACACAGTAAAATCTTGTCTCAAAATTAAAAACAAAACAAAACAAAACAACTAACAAAAACTGGGGATGTAGCTCAATGTAATGGTCCTGTATTCAATTCTGAGTACCAGGAAAAATTAACTTTTTTATGCTTCTCCCCCAATAGACATCTTTTTCCATGTTTTTAAATAAAGTTGAATTTAACTTGTAACCATAAACTCCCTTTTAAAATTCACTAAATACAAACAGAAAGTATAGAGATAAGAATGAAAAGAAATCCCACGAATTAATCCTAAACATAAAATTAAGCTCTTATCCATAATGTAGGATTTGCCACCAATTTGCTGAATTAAAATAAGCCCAATAATTTTAGTGTCTTTTATTACTGAAATCTTATTTTAGCTATTCTACTATATTCATATTAATGTAACACATGGTATTTACATTCTTTTTTTTAAACATTCTTTCACCTTGTCCTTCTTATGCTGTTTTTCTTGTTTTCTACTATCAAAATGCACTGTCAACAAGAAATTGTTTGAAAAATAGTTCAACAAATCTTTTATGATAGTGCTGGTTTGGGGGATATTTTACAAGGGGAACAATATAATACAGGACACATTTTTATAAGATTATTTATAATAGTCACCAAAGAATCATATACAAGAGAGAGCAGGAAATCTATCTACACACCAAGACCAAGGAATCCAGCCAAGGGCCTAGATCCCACAGAAATGTCCTGAATGAGTCCAGCTGAAGACCTAAAGCTCATAACAATGCCCCCCACAAGTCTACCTGGAGGCCCAGAGCCCATAACAATATCTAATGCAGGCCTGTTTCACAGATCTGCGCTGAGAAGGCCCAAAGGTCAGTGGTGGAATCTAGAAAGTCTGTGCCAGTGGGACGAAGGATCTGTGCTAGCAGGCTGAGGGATCTACAACTGGAGCCACAAAGTAATGCTCTAAGTAAGAACCAGAGATCCCCTGAAAGGTACCACAGCCATCCTTAGCAACAGTGAGGTCCCACACTCCTCAGATGATGAGGATGGCCAAGTTCCCATCAGGAAAGCCAATGCAGCAAGCTTCTTCAGGAGACTGAGCTGTGCACATTCTTTCCCTCTGGAGCCAGGAAGCGATGCTCAGAGCGAGGACCAGAGCTTCCCCAAAGTGAACAGAAACCATTCTCAGTGCCAACGAGGTCCTGAGCTCCTCGGAGGATGAAAACAGCCAAGTTCACCAGGAAAGCCAGCATGACAAGCTCCTCCAACAGAACCAACAGCTCCTTACAGCTTCTACCAGTTCCCAACAGCCTCACTACTTCTCCAGTTCTGCCTCTATGCTGCTGGCAACAATCCTCAGGTGGGCCTCCCACACCCAGCCAACATGCTTACTCAGTTCAGATGGGGGTTATAAGCTGACCACCAGCTGTCAATCCACCACAACGATCAACCCATCTTTCTATGTTTAGTATACGTTAAAATCCCTATCATCTGTAGTCCTAAAGCAGTTACTAATCAGAG